GGCATGCAGGCCTGCAGTGAATAGGAGCTGGAGTAAGAAAGAGGAGACCTGCTGGGAGGCCTGCCTGAAGAAGATACCAGCAAAGCTGATGGAGCTGGGAATTGCGGGGACCTGCCTAACCAAGCATGGTTTCATAGGAGATTCCTGGAAAGCCAGACTGTGGCCAGGAATGCTGAGAATGTAGACTTTTGCTTCTCTGAAGGATGTACAGAAAAGCCACTTTCTTGGGATGTGTGCCTTCCTGGTCTTTACCATGATCCAGTGTAACATGGCACATATTTCCCTGAACTATTACTGCATGGAGACTGAGGACAACATACCCCAGATCCTGAAAGATAGAGCTGCTGTGAGAGGATGGCGACTTTGAAACCCACCAGTGTGCTTTCCAGAGCGGATGGTGACCAGTTTGCATAGCTGGCTTAAGAAGAGATAAGGATACGGGGAACAACTGGGCATGCTTTTGGTTTTTAGCCTGGTGGGGAGCCAGGGAAGTGCTAGTTCTTGTGGAAGGACAGAGATCTGAGCAGGAGTGCTCTCAGTCCCTCTGAGGTTGGAATCTTGTAAATAAAAGCCTGTTTCCCTCAACACTAATTGTTGGGTCATGCATCAAGGTACCATGTGCATGAGCCCTGGTTTGCTGGATTATATTTCCAGTTTCAGTGAGCAGGAAATTTTTCTCAGTTAACACAGGAATTAGCTTGAAATGCTGAGTTTCTTGGAGAATGAAAAAAGGTGAATCAAAGAGTAAACCAATAGCTTAGTCTCTGAGATATTTTATAAATCCAAGTAAGCCCCTCCCAGGCCTCTTGATTCTGCATTCTCTGTTGGATGCCTGCACTTGGTAGGCTCTGCAGATTTCGTACAGGGTATTGAACTGCTGGATCATAAATCCTGTGAGCTTATGCATTGAGTTTTTACCAATATAGATTGTGTCTTTTCTCAGCTTTTATCCATCTAAGCAATGTTTAGATTGGGTTGATTTGAGCTTTGGGGAAAGTGGACAGTTAATTCTTTTGTGGGATGCATTTCTTCACCTCTCAAGTTCAAAATGCTCTGGAGATTCATTTGTCTTCCTTTCTCTGCTCTTCACACTTCCTACCTCCCTCTTCTTTGATTCCCAAATCCAAATGATGTATAAGTGGAGAGGAACTTGATTGGGTGTGGAGGAGAATATCATTGATCTTTGTTTTCTACACCTCAAGCTCCACATTAGGTCCCACATGAGTTTGCTAAAGCATATAAGGATCTGCTAGCCCCTGGTCATGTCCTCAGGGTACATTTAAAGTCACAACGTACGCACAATGCATTTTTTGGGAAGCAGTCGAATTTGCTCAATGGTCAGTCATTCAAATAAAACTGGCAAGCATGCTGTGGAGCAGAACAAGTCCGTTGTTTTTTTTTTAAAGATAAAACACAGGATTATAAAGACATTTCTTGCGAGTATAGGCTTTTTCCAAATGTTTCTCCAGTTCCCAAGGGAATGCTTTAAATCGCCTTCCCTATTACGAGTATTTGGGTGAAAGTTTGAGAAGCATTGTGAGATTCTGGTAAATTCTTTTCTAAAACACAGTTTGCTTTTATATCTGAGAGGGGTATTGCTTTATTTCTGGGGTTCATGGAATGAGAAATTATGTAGCCCTTGGCTGGACACTTAAGTCTGTCCCTGGACTTGCCAAAAAGTCCTGGGCTGAGTCACTGTACGGGACTTCATAATCTCATTCAAAGACCACCGGGATTGTAAAATTCTTGCTGCTCAGTCCATTTCTTGTAAATGGCTCTACATATTCAAGAATAAATAGTTTAGTTTGTTGTTGGTTTGGGGGTTACCCCTCCACCACCTCTGCACAGTTGACCAGCTTGGTAGAAGTGTCAAGCATTTGTATTTTCTCTGTTCTACATGTGTTGGAAAGTAAATAGGCAGCAATAAAGAAACTTTATTATGCATGTTTTCTGCCTTGGGTGGTTCTTGGAATTTGCTGAATTTGCTGAGTGCAACTTAAATTTTAAAAGGCTCCTGAGGCTCACCTTTTTCATGCCATGCAAGTCAAATGGAAAGCCAAATAATTAGAATAAGCAAGCTGCAGTGGGTCTTTTCTCTTGGTCTCAGCTGACCCCAGACTCTGTTGTGAAATTCTAGCACCTCTTTTTCCCCCTTCCAGCTGTTAAGCTTCCATGGCCAGATTTAAACAACCATCTCTTTTCCCATCTCAGATAATCAACAACTGATTTAGTATATTACCTAGGACATTCTTGTACAAAGAATTTTAAGAGCAAAAACAAAACAAAACAAAACAAAACAAAATTGTTCATATCCATTGGTTTTCCAGGACATCTTATTTATATTATGTCAGTCTTATTAGAACTTGTGACATTAAAGCAATGAAACTGATTTTCACAAGCACTATATAGACTCTTGCTAAAGCCAATTAAAAGCACTTAGTCCAGACTGCTTCTTGCTCAACTTATACCTGGGACTGAAAGCAGGGAATGAAGTGAAGCAAAATTAAAGAATGAATGTAAATACCAAGTATATTGCTCTTTCTCTTGGCAAAATGCCCTGGAATGGGACCCTGTCTGAGATCTACAAAATCTTGTTCAACATTCCTAGGCAAGGTTTTTAAACTGTCATTAGGGAAGAAAATCAGTATCATATCTTCCTAGAGATACTACATTTTAGTAATAGTATCAACTTTTGGAGAAGGCAGTGTGGTATAAACAAAGCTTAGGCATTGGACTCAGACAGACCAAGGTTTAAATCCCAGAGCCACCATTTATTATTGGCTGTGTACCACTGGATGTTACAGACCTCTCCTGGGCCTCTTTTTTTTTTTTAAATCTGAAAAATGGGAAATAATTGCAAGGATTAAAAAGGATAGCAGATGCAAGGAGCAAGTTCAATCCTAGGCACATAATCAGTGTAAATTTCCCTTCTTTTTTGAATCAGATTACAGATTATGAACATAGAGTATCTCCCCACCAAGAGCTGACTTGGACTGAAGGCACTGTTTTCTATGAAGGAAACTCTTGGTGGCTCTGAGTTGTGACTGTTGATTGCACACATCTGGAAACTATGACAACCATCATTGTGCTGTGAGCTCAGCTTGGCCCAAATGTAGCTCTGTATAAGGAAGCCTCTATCCTTCAGTTTTTCCCAACACAGCATAGCTTGGCTTGAATTTGGGCAGAGGAGTGGGTGTCAAAAGAAATGAACAAAGTCTGGGAGGAATTCAGCTGCAACTAACAATTTCCTAGCCCTTTGGGACCCCACTAGGGAACTGTCCTTAGAGTAGCTCCTTGAACATGCACAGGAGTCATATTAGGAAGCTGTGTTATTACGCCTGTTTTGCAGATGCTTAAACTGAGTCTGGGAGGTTAACTGATTTTCTCAAGGAGAAATAATAAGACATGGTTTTGGGATAAGATTCCAGGTCTTTCAACCTGGTGAAGAAAGCAGGAGAATTTGCTGTGTTGGAAGTTTGGCAACTGGAGTGACTATTTGCCCAAGTCCACTTTGCATTGATGCTGACACAAGAGCTTGGGGTGGGCGGGTCCAAGTAAGTTTCCTTGACCTTTGGAAACCTTGTGCCCAGGCCCTCTGTCCATTATGTCACATGTGGACTAGGGTAGGTAATGAGATCTGGCTAATTAAACATGTCAAAAAAAATCTGATCATTAATTAAAAAAACCAGAATTTGTAAAATACTTCTAGCATAATTAAAATTGCTAAGGTATTTGTGTTTTATTTTTACAGTTCAGAAGTATTTTAAGACTAACATTGTCTTTCATTTATTCAAAAATATTTATTAATTTGCTTACTATACATCAAACACTGTTCTAGATGCTGGAGATACAAAAGCTTTTCAAGAAAAACTCTTGAAAATGCTCTCTTGTAACAAATCAAGTAGTAATAAACTGATTTTTGGGGGGGATGATAAAGAAAGTCAGCTTTTTTTTTAACTGTTAAAAAAAGTTAAAGAAATATAAAGCAATTCTAAAGGCAATTTCTTTATGGACTTACATCTTTCTTTTTTTTCACCCAAAAAACTTCCATTTTTCTCTTGCCTCTCCATTCTTAGAAGGCAATTTTGAGTCCCAACATGCTCTGCATCATCTGCCCATGTCCACTGCCAAAACTAGGCAGTCAGAGTGTGGATTTCAGCACAGCATGATTGGATGATAAACAGTGAGATTAATATGCTGCTAGAATTTTTTTTAAATGCCAGAACACCAGAATGCAGTATTCCAACCTCGTTCTCTCCAAATCAAAAGCCTAGTGAATGAAATTATGACTGCTATTTGAGTGCAATTATACTGAGTATATAAAATTGAAACACTGAAAGTAAATCATACATTTTGATATTATATTTCATATTTCAGTGTATGCCAAATAAACTAGCAAAGTTTTATTGTTGTTGAATGTAATGTCAGGAGACAAACTTCTGCAAATTTTATACATAATTTTTTCCACTTTATCTGTTTTCCATTTATGTCAATTTAAACACATGGTGTGATTTTTAATATGCTCTCCTCCTTCTCTTCTACGCTGAATGCCAAGGGATCAAACCCAATCTTGATTATCCTAAATTTACCCGAAGTAACCTCAGACTAAGAGGTTTTTTTGTTTGTTTGTTTTTTAATTAGTATAAAAAAAGGAGAGAGGAAGACTCTCTAAATAACCCTATAAACCTGGCTCTACAGGTTCTGACAAATGGCCTGGAAAGACTCACAAGGGCCAGTACATTATAGAAGACAACTGTGGCTTGAGGCAGTTATTGCCAAAGCAGGTCTCAGCTCATAGAAACTGGGTAACCACTAAGGGAACTGTGGATTATAACGAAATACGATCTTGCAGCCATAACAGCTCAGTGAGTTGGGCCTCACTGGAAAAGGGTAAGGAAACGTTTCGGGAGAGAATGAGGGGAGGCCCGCACCCACGCACCCTGGCGCGAGCACAGGGACCGCCCTGGCACCGTTAGAAAGGTAACAGCCGCTGCAGGAGAATGGCTTCCAGCTTTAAGAAGCTAAGTGTGGCCTCTACCAGTCAGAAAAAAAAGGTGGGTCCTAAGCCTGAACTCACTGAAGATCAGAAGCAAGAAGTTCGTGAAGCATTCGACCTCTTCGATGCCGATGGAAGTGGCACCATCGACGTGAAGGAGCTGAAGGTGGCTATGAGAGCGCTGGGCTTTGAGCCCAGGAAGGACGAGATGAAGAAGATGATCTCCGAGGTGGACAAGGAAGGCACAGGGAAAATCAGCTTCAATGACTTCTTGGCTGTGATGACTCAAAAGATGGCCGAGAAAGATACCAAAGAAGAAATTCTGAAGGCTTTCAGGCTCTTTGATGATGATGAAACTGGGAAGATCTCTTTCAAAAACCTAAAGCGTGTAGCTAATGAGTTGGGGGAAAACCTTACTGATGAAGAACTACAGGAAATGATCGATGAAGCAGATCGGGACGGAGACGGTGAAGTAAACGAGGAAGAGTTTCTTCGCATCATGAAAAAGACTGACCTCTATTAAAGTCAGCAGTTTCTCCCGCAAGCGTGTGTGGAGAAGTTGAGCAACTTGGTGGGTTCCCTGCTTCTGCTTTGTGAAACCTTGAGTTAGAGGATAGCTCTATCCCTTTTCTTACTCCCCTCCCCCCAGTTTGTCTAGATAGTTCTATTTCCAAATCTATGGCTCGGGTATAGAATTATAAAGATGCTTTTAACGTGTGTTTTGGTTTTTAATTCTCAAGAACAGGCTTGGAGTACCTAGGCTGAATTTTTTTAAGAGGCCCTAAAGCTTCCGTCTACCCATGATTTGCCTTGAATTGGTGGACACCCATTAAACTGAACCCAGCATGGCTTCTTGGGACAAGCAGCGCTGTGGTTCCCCTGTCATTTCTCTGGTGGTCGTAAATTATCTTGCTTCACATGTAATTCCTTAAATTCAAGTCATTGTTCCAGCATGGTGAGATGGAATCAGCCAGCAGGCATCCTAGCTATTGTTTCTCATTTAGCTGAGTCTTGATTTGAAGGAAAGCAGTGCAGCCACTTACTGAGCTCAGGAAAGTTACTGTTCTAAAGCATAGGCTTGCTTTTGGGTGGTGCTAATTGTGCAATTTATAGACTAATCCCTAAAGTCATGACATACAAATGATTCTTCATTTGTGTGAAAATCATCTACTATGGATTATGCAGGGCCATAATATATATGTGGGCCACAGAAGAATGGTGAAATTTAATATTGGCCCAAGTGAAGTATAATTTGCTTAACAGATTAAGCTAACTAATGATTTTGAGTAAATATTTACAAATGTAAGATCTTAGTTTAGAAAATTCTAAAAAAATATAGTATATTTTAAGCTGTTTATTTGTACTTGGAAAGAGCAACAAGTGTTTTAGCATTAGACTACTAAAACATAACTGTAGTCATTTAATTAATGCTTTATCACAAGTCATTATCTACCTGCTAATTTTTAGAATACACTGATTCTTGATATTCAATGTTTTTCCCTTTCTAGTATATAGTTGATGTCAGAGTGTCTGGCACATAAATAATTATCTGTTTTATAACCCAAGGCAACTATTTCACTGTAGCTAGTGTGTTACTATTATTTGTTTTCTGTAATAATCAAGGTTTTTTGTTTTTGTTTGTTTGTTTTTTGCTTTGAAAAGAGCTATCTACCCTCTTGAATGTTTATAAATCTGAACTTAGGGAAATTTTAAATAGTATAATTATGGGAAGATTATATTTATGTTGAGATGGCAACCCAGACTAGTTTTTGATAAATGCACAACACAACTATTAAATATGCAAGATATTTTAGTCACAACTAAATCTAAATTAAATCTGCAAAGTCCCATTAAGATAAATGCTGCAATTTGGGAAAATTTGTCACTTGCTTGACCAGCAATTTTACCCTTCGGAGGGTGGTGGGTCTAATTAGGGGAACTGCTACCCTGGTCTTAATTCTTATTGACAGGGACTAATTGGTCAAGGCGGGAAGAGTAGCTGAAGTGATGAGGATGTGGGCATTCACTGTGAGAAAGCATTTTGCTGCGGTGGCTGGCCCTGGGCAGGGAACTCACCCAGGCTGCAAATGCTAACAGTTCAGATTCAAGGTCTTAGTGTGAACTCAGGTGCAGCTCTAGAGAATTCAGGTGCAACTTGGGGCAACATCAGTGTGAAGGGCAAGAGTGTGTCATTCTGGAAAACAGAGTTTCTGCCATCCTGTTGACCAGTTTTGGCCCCCAAATACACATGTGGATCAAGGTAGAAATACCAGAAACAAAGAAAGTTGGCGGAAACTAGTAGAAAGGGTCAGAGCCTAGCAGACTGAGCTCGACTGGACTGGCACCACGTCCATCAGAGGTAGACATGAAAATCAGGAACCTGGGCTGAAGCCCTGCAGTCACGGTGCTCAGACACCAAGGAGTCAACCATAGAGGCTGCAGCCCAGTACCTAAAAGAGTTCCCCTGAGGTTTCAACCCATCTGACACAGGGAAAGGGGATTCCAGAGTATTTCTGAATCCCTCTCACAGCTAAGAAAGAAACTCTCAATGCACTATTAGTCTTGCTTCTCAGTTGGTTCATACTCTGAGGGATGGCAGGTAAATGGGGGAGGGGAAATGACTAGAGCAGGCCTAGACATTTGAATATTGATTGATTGATTGTTTATTCTATTATGGTTATCCCAATTCCCACCCACCCTTTTGCCCCCTAGACATTTGAATTTTAAGAGAAGTTAATCCCACATGTCTGGCTGGGTCAGATATGTTTCCTAGTCTTTAAAAAAGTAGAACACAATTCAAAGAGAACTTAGACACTTTCTTTTGCAGATGAGGAAACACAGCTGCAAAGTTTGGGAATATCAAAAAGTAACTTTCACTGGGTTTTTACAAGTAGTCTTAATAAAGTAGCAGGAAACATACCAAAGAAATTCATGTGACTGTGTAGGCATCTCATGAATAAGCCCTTGATTTCTATGATAAATGGGACAGATAAGAAGCAGAGCATAGGAACAAAGATGAAAATATGACAGTATCAGAGAAGACAAAAAAAAGAGAGAAGACAAAATAAATATAACAGTATCAAAGTTGTATTAATATGAAGAAAGTGAAGGCCCCAAGTGAGCAGAGGACAGGAAAAGGAATTTTAAAGGCAACTTAGTTATGTTTATGAAGTTATGGGAAGGGATAGGTCTATCTCTTAAGATTGTTGCAGATTGGTTTCCATGGAAAGCAGACTCTGAGTCTGAGGTTTGTGTGTGGGAAGTATGGGTAGAGGAGGGAAGAAAGCAGAACTGGACAGAGGAAGAAGTTGAGCTGTGATGCAATCACAACAAAGGCTTCAGCTGATCCGGCGAAGAGTTCTGGAATGAAGATGACTCTGCAGAAATGTCCCAGATTGGGACAAGGAAGTTGGGCCTTTGAAACTTTTCATTCGTTCGCAGTCACTGGACATGAATTGCCCTGAGGAAGGGGATATGACCTTGATCAAGGTGGCCCTCCTCAGCCAAGAGCAATCACTGGAAGGGAGATCTCAGTTTCAAACTGTTAGTTGTCAACACTCCCAACACCTGCAGGGATAAGGACTTTAGCTCTGAAGTGCAGGGCAGAGGGGAAGTCTGGGTAGTGCCCACAACTTCCACTATAGTCCACTCTTTTCACCACTGAGATCTTTGCATAAGTTCTGAGAGAAGCTAATTCAGGATTCTGATAGACCTTCATTCCTGAAAGAAACTTTCAAAAGGAAGATTATAGGGACAAACTACAGCTCCTGCCATAGCTGCAGGTCTCAAGGCCACAATGGTACTTAACATCTCCCTCCACTATCCAATCGAGAATCCCTCACCCTCAGCACCTTTGCTGATGTAGGTGAGTCACCTGGTAGGATCACCCAGGTTCTTTCATCCCTGAGGAGTCTGAGCTTTGTTCTTCTCAGGCTATGGCTGTTGCACTTATCCCTTTGCCCTCAAAATTGAGTGAAAGAGCACCAAGAGATACGCAAGTGTATTACCAGGTACCAAACATACTCCTTCCATATAATTCCTGTAACCCTCCGTCCTCCTGATGACCAGGAATTAGTTATTCATGGATGGTGATTCCTTCCCTTGACTGTTGCTTTCTCTCCATGAGAAACCCACTGTGATTGAGAGTCAACCATAGTTTGAAATTTAATGGTCTCTTGCTGTGCCCACTGGTGGGAGCATTCCTCCTCTAGGAGTCAAGGTCTTTAAATGCATATAGTCCAAAGTTGTGGGGATGAGAAGCACAAATTAAAGAGCAGATTACTGAGAATTAAAGTAAGAACTACTCCCACACTCAGTTTGCTGAATTCATGTGTCCTGCATAGGAAATAACACACTGTACAATAGCCATGGATTTAGATTATATGCTGCATCCTGGAGGGCGGCACCACCTTCTCACTGGTTATTATGTCCAAGCTGTCCCCTCAGAGGCATCTTCAACAGGCTTTTCCATTGCTCCATCATGTTGGAATCTTCTGCATGTTATAGTACTAGTAGATTTTGAGACCACATGACCACTGCTACACCTCCTTTCTTGTAACATGAGTCCCTTGGTCCAATTGAATGTGGGATCCTATGTCAGTAGAATAAATATTCAGATATGGTGCTGACTGAAGCTTTGCAAGGAGGAAAGGCAAACCCATGACCAAAATATGTGTCAAGTCCAATCAGGATTAATCACCTGTCTTTCCAAAATAGAAGGGATCCAATTGGACTACTTGACACTAAGAGACGTGTTCATCTCCTTGAGGAACAGTGTTATTCTGCATTTGGCAAGAGTAGCTGTATTATCCTTGGTGACTGGGTACCTAAGTTCTTGGGTCCATGCATAGCCTCCAGCTCTACTATAGTGACTATTCCATTCATGTACCTATTGTGCCAGCACTAGGGTGGCCAAAGACAGAGGGAAACTGATGTCAACTAGCTAAGCCTTTCTGTCTTCTTGGTTGTTTGATGTCTCTTCTGTGATAATCACTCTCTGATACATGTTAATATGAGTTACAAAGATCCTTACACTTCCTACCCATTTCCCTACTCCATCTATGTGCCTTTTCTCCAGACCTTTTTATTTTGATATTTTCTTTTCATGGTCCTGAACAATCAGCTAACTAGTTGTTCACCACTCAGTCCACATATATCCTAATGCCAGGTCATGTCTCTTTCCACACAAAGTAGATAACCAAGTGCACTACCAGAAACTCTGCCCACTGGGAAGATTTCCCCTTTCACTGCCACCTTTCTGATCCACCTCTATAATCCATTATATACCAAGTTGACCTATCCTGGAACCAAGTTCAGCCTTTTTACTCCTCTAAGAGCTGATCATAGGGGACCCACAACACCCATGTGGTGACATGTATGAACTGAGAAGCAGCTCTGGGGCAACTTGATGGATGACATGGGGCGTCACCTCATGTAGCTTACTTCGGTCCTGTGGCCATACTTTTTTTGCCTGATTCCAGATATATGATTTTTTTCCTAGTTTCCTAAGGTGGCAGATTACAT